GAAATCCACTGCCAAGAAAACTCTAGGCCATGTACCTGCTGCTCCTCTGGACAACATTTCTTTTTATTCCATTAGTAGTGTGACAAAGTGGAGGTATGTTTATCAAAGAAGAATTGCTCTAGAAAGGGAACTGGGAAAAGATGCTCTAGAAATCAAGGAGGTAATTGACCTAATCAACGAAGCTGGATTACTCAAGACAGTCACTGGGTTCTCCAAATGTTATGAAGGACTGGTAAAAGAGTTCATTGTAAATATTCCTGAGTCAATTACTAATAAGAACAACAAAGAGTATATGAAAGTTTTTGTTAGAAGGAAGTGTGTGAAGTTTTCTCCAACTGTTGCAACAGGTTTTTGGGACGAACAAATGATGGTGAGGAAGAATTGTCTGCTCAGACAACCATGTTTGCAAGGTAATCACTTCCAATCATATCAAAACATGGCCTTCAAAAGGTAAGTTGTCTGCTGGACAACTCAGTGTAAAATATGCAATCCTTCACAGGATTGGGGCTGCAAATTGGGTGCCTACCAACCACACCTCCACCATTGCTGTTGGGCTTGGTAGGTTCATTTATGCTATTGGTACCAAGGTTAATTTTGATTATGGATTGTACATTTTTGATCAAATTGTTAAGCACTCTACTTCAAGTGCCGTCAAGCTTCCTATTGCCTTCCCCTCTCTCATCTGTGAGATCATCTTAAACCAACACCCTGGAATTTTGAACTCCAATGATGCTGCTAGCAAGAGAGATTATGTGATGTTTCTCCACTACAAACTCTTTGCTGGAAGACATGTTTAAGATATTGTTCTGACACCTGCTGAAAAAGAAACTGCTTCAAAAGCAAGAATCATTGATGAGCTAAAAGACACATGTAGGGAATTGGGAGAAACTATTAATGTTGCCACAACAAGAAAGATCAAGTTGGAATCTTTAACTCAATGCCTTGAAAATGATGCTGCACATGCTGAAGATATTAGTGAGGTTGGGTCAGGGGAGGAGTCTGAAGATGGTAATGAAGAAGATGGTGAAGATGTTCCAGATAATGTTGAAGAGGTTGCCTCCAATTCTACTTCTGAGGATGAGGATTACGTTGTCTGCTCTGATGGTTTGTTGTTTGTTTTGGTTTTTTTAATTTGTTTTGGTTTGTTTTTGACTGGGTTGTTGGTAATGTTGTCTGCATTGGCAGAATGGATTGATTTTGTTGCTCTACATGAGCATTTTGGGTTGTAAGTTTTTGGGGTCTCCATGCCCTTAACATGTTTGTTTCTAACTGTTCTGATCAATGTTATTCCATTAGTTTATGATCTATAAATTATGGCTAAAAAGGGGGAGAGGTTTGGTTGAATGGTTGTATTCTATATACAGCTTGGTGTATGTCCCTAACAGGTCTAGCTGGTTAGATGCTTGAAGTTGGTGGCTGGGTTGTTGCTCTGATTGTATACCTTGGTGTATACCTTGGTTTGGCTAGTTGTGCTAGCTGTGCTGGTATGTTTAGCAGGTGTGAAGATGGTGGTTGCTGCTCTGATTTGGTTGACAGGAGGATGATTTTGTTAGATATGTGTTTGTTCCTTCTAGGGACTATTGTGTTCTACATATCAGATTGTTGATTGTTGTAGTAACTTAATTGATTGTATACCAGTGTGTTTGGGATTGTGCTTTGCAGGTTGCTGAAGGATGATAGGTTGGTGAGTTTGTGGGCTGCTTTGATATTGTGTGTTTTGCATCTGTTGAGGGGGAGTTTTATTTTTACTCTCCTTGATATGGTTTTTTCTGCTGTGTTGTACTCTTTAATGTTGTTTTCTCTTATGATCTGTTTTAGCCAAAATTTGCCAAAGGGAGAGTTTGTTAGTTCTTAATTGGCAGGAATTTTGGTAAAACTAGAAGTAATCACAACATGTCCTACAGGATGTCGTGACATCTTTCTGTTAGGAACAACAGGTTGCTTTGTGTTTTGTATCTGGTAGTTTCTCTATGATGTCAAACAAGATGTCTTGACATTCATGGACTAAGCATTCAGTATGAATGGTTTTGTGTGAGCATATCTTTTTATGCAAGCTGGCTGCACTTGTCTGATGTGGAAATAGTGTGTTTCTAGTGTGTTAATGCAGGCGTTTCTGATGCACTTTCTGTGGATCATATTGGATTTGATATGGATTTAATATCAGAAGATCATTTGCAGATTTGAAGATTGATATGATTAGATTTGATTAGCCAAATCAAATATGATTGATTATTGCTGTTACTTTTGGCATAGCCCAAGCCCATTATGCACTACTATTTATAGAGGCTGAAACCCTAGCTTGAAGATCGGAGAAGCAAGGATTAAAAAGTGTGTGCATCTGTTTAAGTTTAGGCTTCGTGTGTGTTAGTTTTATGAGTCATTCACTCATTATTTAATGTGTGAATTGGGCTAAGTTGTTAATTGTAAATTGTTAATTGTTCACTCAAAGCTTTTAAGCAAGAGTGTATTGTACTTGATTGAAGCTTTTAAGCAAGATCAAGTTGTGACTTTGAAGTGTGTCTTCTAAAGTCTTCCTTTTGTATTGAAAGTTATAACTGATGTGATTGAGGGGGAGTGAGAGATGTCTCTTGTCTAGTAAGTCCTAGGAAGAAATTGCATTGGGTAGAGATTAAGTGAGGAGTTGTAAATTGGGAGTTTAGCTCCAATTAATTCTACTGATAGTGAATTTCCTCCCTGACTTGGTAGCCCCCAGATGTAGGTGTGTTTCACCGAACTGGGTTAACAATTACTGTGTCACTTTTAATTGTTATTTGTTTAGCTTTGTTCTTTGTCCTTGACAAACAGATATTTGTTTCGTGAACATCTTCTTCGACATCTAATATCTGATACCAGAATTTCAAATGACTTTATGTATTTTGTAGAACATGTGTATCAGTTTGTGGAACTGTTATGAAATAGAATCTTTCATAATGTTGTGTTAAAAGCATAACCTATTTATGGACCTATTTATGGATCTGTTATAAGATAATTAGGCTATAATGTTTATGGACTTGTTATGTACTTTATGTTAAAAGCAGAACCAACTTATAGGTCATAATGTTTATGGACATGTCATAATGTTGTGTTAAAAATGCAGACCAAGTTAAAAACACTTTGACAGGTCTATAACAGACCAAGTTAACATAAAAACAGAACATACCAAATAGAATTTATAGGTCATTGTGTGTTATATAAAACACTTATAGGTCATTGTGTGTTAAAATCAAGTTAATCTTTAACAGACCAAATATTACATTCATGTAAAAATAACATAATCTTTAACAATGCAGGCCAAGTTAAAAACACTTTGGCAGGTCTATAATAGACCAAGTTAAAAATAATATTTTCAAAAAGTAAAATTAAAAGAATCTAACTATTACATTCATGTTGAACTGATACAATCTTTAACTGAACTTAAACCTAATTCTTACAAACAAAAGATAAGTTAATTCTTACAAACAAACCATAACATACTACTTCCAAACAAACCTTAATACCCTAACTAATTCTAACAACTAATACAATGATAATCTTCACAAACATCAAATTCAAAATCTTTTTCCACTTCATGATATTCTTCATTTCACTTTCAAGTTTCATCAACTTTTTCCCTAATTATTCATTCTCCATTGTCACGTTTTCAATATCTCTTTTTTGCTTCAGCAAATCCCTTAGTTACCACACACAGCCTATGCATCCAGAATCGCTCATTCTCATCACCCACCTCCTCATAAAACCAACCAAAGAAACCACACCCAACTTGCATACCTTTCTGAAATTTTCATTGTTTAGAGGTTACCTACAAATTGAAACTTAAACATAATTTATTAACAAATTCAAAAAGTTTGCATACCTTATAATTTGGACAATCCCAGAAAAGTTTTCCCATATTCTTAACAGTAGTTGCCCTTTGAAGAACAGTCATGTCTCCACAATGGCATATGGGTTTCCATCGTGACCTACTACAAACATTAGAATCTCCACTTTCCTGTTTCAACATGGAGGACGAACAACCAAATTTCATACTTGCCAAAAACAAAAATCCTAGGTTAATTTTGGGATTTGGGATTGGGAAGGAGCAAGGAGAACGAAAAAAAATTAACAAACAGTATGGCAATGAGAAGGAGGAAGGAGAAGGAAACAACATGATGAAGATAACTTGTCAAGTCATTTGCCACGTACACAAAATGAACGGACGTTTGGGGATAACTAACGGCAAGAACTCAATTGAAATCATTTTAAAAGTTAGAGGATCAACTTGCCACTTTTTAAAGTTAAGGGATCAAACTGTACCCGAATTAAAGTTAAGAAAAGAGAGATTTTGTCATAATTTATCTATTACGTAAATATCTTTGTAAATTAAACTTATCTTTTATATAAAATATAAAAAATTAATTATATTTAATTTCATAATATTTTAAATTAATACAATTTTTTTATAATAGTAATTTAAAAGAGTATTATAATCCTAATCACTTTATTAAGTTATGTTATTCACTCAATATTTTTAGAAACCGAGGTAGTATTAAGTGTGGTCACATCCTTTTGGGAAAGAAGAGTAATTAAAGGCTAAAATGTCTCCTTTTATGGGATCATAATTATTTACCATCTTTAGAAAAATTAGATTTGTTGACTAAATCCAACTTAACCCTATTTCTTTTCAAGCCACAGCTTCATTCATTTCACTGGATGAATGAACATGAAGTTAGGGAACATAGCAATATAGCAATAATAAAAAAACTACATCTTCTTATCATATTCTTCCTAATCAATCATTAATATTGTAACATTCCGGTAAGATTCATCTTTCTTGTTATCATCACATTGTTCATTCTTTACTCTTTCTTCATGTATATCTATCTATGTTTGTTCATGTGTGTGTAATATATCAACATGTAATATTGAAGTAGCTATATCTATTATATCAAACTAGTGAATATAATCTAATGTGATTTGTTTATATGAAAATTTTTGTGATCATAGGTAAAATCTTAGAGAAAATGCCCAAGGATTACAATGGATCACCAAAGCATTATAATCAACTTGAATCCAAGAGAAATAGACTCACTTGGATTTTAGGTGTAAGTGGATTATGTATTTTGTGCTATGTAATGGGTACATGGAAAAGTACAGGAACACCTAACCAATCTGAGAAGTACTCAAAAGTAGATTGCAATACTGGAACAAACACAGGCTCGTCCTCGTACTCGTCTTCGTCGTTGGCGAATTTAGATTTTTCAAGTCATCATTCAATTGAAATAAGCACTTCTCCAGGGGTACCAGAGTTTCCAGCTTGTGACATGATGTACAGTGAGTACACACCATGTCAAGATCCAAATAGAGGTAGAAAATTTGACAGAAACATGATGAAATATAGAGAAAGACATTGTCCTTCAAAAGAAGAGCTTTTGTCTTGTCTTATACCCGCGCCGCCGAAATATAAGACACCTTTTAAATGGCCTCAAAGTAGAGATTATGCTTGGTATGATAATATTCCTCACAAGGAACTTAGTATTGAGAAAGCTATTCAAAATTGGATTCAAGTTGAAGGCGATCGGTTTCGTTTCCCCGGTGGAGGTACCATGTTTCCTCGCGGAGCCGACGCGTATATTGATGATATTAATGAGCTTATTCCTCTTACTACTGGTAATATCAGAACTGCAATTGATACCGGATGTGGTGTAAGTTCGCTCATCTATATACTTTATCTTAAACTCAGAGTTGTCTTAAGTTTTTTTAGGCTACAACTGGGACACTATTTAGTCCCAGTGTAACTGTGACAAAATTTGAGTCCTGTGCGATAGTCTATCTTATACGGCCTCAGAGACGGCCATGTTAAAATTGAATGTTCAGATAAATGTTGCTAACACTTTATATATCTTTATGTGAATCTAATTTTAAAGGTGGCAAGTTGGGGTGCTTACCTATTGAAAAGAGACATTGTTGCAATGTCATTTGCACCAAGAGATACACATGAAGCTCAAGTTCAGTTTGCATTGGAGAGAGGAGTTCCTGCTATGATTGGTATCATGGCTTCACAGAGACTTCCATATCCAGCAAGAGCTTTTGACATGGCTCATTGTTCTCGCTGCCTCATACCATGGAACAAATATGGTTGGTATTCATATTTCTCATACTAGTTTTATTGGATAAACGATTTGGAAAGTTTCTGACATGATACACTGCCACACATTTCCTCTGCATCACAGTAACTCTTTTCACAGGGTGTGCCACTCGCAAATGACCCCCCTGATTTCCTCTGGCGAACTATTTTGGATGATCTGTATTCCAAAGTCTTTTAAATAGGGGCAAGACGAGTCCGGCCCGCCCGACATGTCCATTTTGCCCACATTTTTCGTAGGGCGGATCAAGGTTTTAGACCTGCATTCTCTAATATGTCCAACCACCCTGTTTTTGTGCGGGCATTTAAGGACAGGCATTAGCAAGAATTCTTACAACTTTTAGTCTTTAGGGGTATAAGGCTGCACGTCCGTCCGGCCCCGCTCTCACTTTTTTAGGAGGCGAGACAAGATTTTAGGTCCACATCTTATACTATGTCTGTTCCGTCTTGTGTTTTTTTTGCAAGTTTCTGCGGAATAAACCTAAATGGGACGCCACTCCTACTTTTAACCCACACAAATCTTTGAAAAACTTGTCATTGTCATAGATTTTGGATGATTTACCAGAGATTTTGCTCATTAAGTAATAAAAAAAGCTTTGTATTTTTGGCAAGTTGTTAATATGAATCTAATGTCCATTGGCACAGATGGTATGTATTTGATTGAAGTAGATAGAGTCCTAAGGCCAGGTGGTTATTGGATTCTCTCTGGTCCACCAATCAGATGGAAGAAATATTGGACAGGTTGGGATAGAACACAAGAGGATTTGAAGCAAGAACAAGATTCCATCGAAGAAGTTGCGAAACGCATATGTTGGAAGAAAGTTATTGAGAAAAACGACCTTTCCATTTGGCAAAAGCCTAAAAATCACGTCGAATGCGCGCAACTAAAACAAACTTACAAAACGCCGCACATTTGTCAGTCTGATAATCCCGATATGGCTTGGTAAGTACTCTTCATATCATTATTACGTATTCATCTGACACTAACGACCATTTTACAACTATTTCTGGAGGGTTAGAACTTTGAACTTCGTCGTTACCACTTAGTTGACATTTTATTTGACTGAAAAAGGTACCAAAACATGGAAAAGTGCATAACTCCACTACCTGAAGTCACCGGTTCAAGCCAAGTAGCCGGAGGAGAGCTAGAAAAATGGCCGAAACGCGCGTTTGCGGTCCCTCCAAGAATCGCGAGTGGTTCGATACCAAGCATGACTGCGGAGAAATTTCAAAAGGATAATGAATTATGGAAGGACAGAATAGCACATTACAAGCAGATTACTCCTATTGCTCAAGGAAGATATAGAAACATCATTGATATGAATGCTTATCTTGGTGGATTTGCAGCAGCATTAATAAAATTTCCGGTTTGGGTTATGAATGTTGTTCCGTCAAATTCAGCTCATGATACTCTTGGTGCAATCTATGAAAGAGGTTTCATTGGTACTTACCATGATTGGTGTGAAGCTTTCTCAACTTATCCTAGAACTTATGATCTCATTCATGCAGCTGGAGTTTTTGGAATGTATCAAGATAGGTTGGTATTTTCACATTATCTAACCATATCCATTGCCTTTTAGGTCAAATATATGCTAATAAATTTTTGGTCATTTTGGTTTTTTGAGTTTAAGATCGATCTTTTTAGTCACCAAACGTCCACTTTCATCCATTCAAAAACGGATTTAGTGTCCTAAAAGATCGGTTTGAAAACTTAAAACAGCTTCGCTGCTGAGCTATTGACTGAGCTGATTTAATTTGACGTTATGTAACCATTTCTATTATGTTTTATAACATAGGTGCAACATTAATGTGATACTATTGGAGATGGATAGAATACTAAGGCCAGAAGGAACTGTGATATTCAGAGATGGAGTAGAGCTTCTAACAAAGATTAAAAGTGTTATAGATGCAATGAAATGGAAGAGCACTATAATAGATCATGAAAGTGGACCCTTTAACCCAGAAAAGATTCTTATTGCTACAAAATCTTATTGGACTGGTGAAGTTAAAGCTAGTGGCAACTAATATACATAGGTTTTTTTTTTTTTCATTTTGCAAATTAATTTTGTTCAAATGTTTTATTTCATTGACTTTACATTATTATTTTGATGCCTAATTTTGTATTGTAAAAGGCAAGGACTTTATTAATGCAACAACTTTATAGCAATTGTAGATTTATTACTAAGATTTTTTTATCAAAAGTTTTATAGTCAATATATCTTTGTATTTTTATTTAAATATGTTGATGAAATACATATTAAGAAAACATTTATAATCATCTAGACATTATAAATTTTCAAGTTTTATAGTCAAAATATCTTTATATTTTAAAATATGCTAATGAAATACATAATAAAAAAAAACATTTACAATCATCTAGAAATTATCATTTTTCAAGTTTTATAGTCAAATTATTCTTGTGTTTTTTTAAATATGTTAATAAAATACATAATTAAAAAACATTTGTAATCATCTAGAAATTATAAATTTTCAAGTTTCATAGTCAAAATATTGTATTTTTTAAAGTATCATATTCATATATAATAAAAATATTTATAACTATTTTTTAAATGGGTTTAATTATTATGTAAATTTTACATTGTTATTTAATAGAAATATATCATTCTGCCATGTCATATAATTAATTTAAAATTTTTAGTATGACTTAATTGCAATGCATGATCATCTTTAATCACTAGCAGTATCACTTTTTATTCCTTTAGAAATTATATTTTGGAAATTTCATAGTTAAATTATCTTTATATTTTTTAAAATTTGCTAATGAAATACATAATAAAGAAACATTTATAATCATCTAGAAGATATATTTTTTAATACTAATTTGAAAAAGCATGTGGTTCTTAAAATTACTTTCATAAATATAAATCTAATTAAAAGTAAAAATTGTTCATGAAATACATAATAAAAAAACATTTATAATCATCTAGAAGTTATCATTTTTCAATACTAATTTGAAAAAAGCATTTCAATCGCGTGGTTATATATATATATATATATATATATATATATATATATATATATATATATATATATATATATATATATATATATATATATATATATATATATATATATATATATATATATATATATATATATATATATATATATATATATATATATATATATATATATAAAACAAATATGATCCATTAGTTATAAATTTCAAAAAGGTGATTTTTTTTTCAAAAATTATATAAGTCATTTCAAAATCATTTTTATAAAATAAAAGAGTAATTTTAATAACCCATAAGTTCAACATTTATTATTAAAATATAGACAAAATCAAAGTTTAAAAAAAGTATCAAAAATTATTTTAATGAATAACTACATAAAATAGCTTCAAAATTCAATAAATTTTTAAATTTTGACATCTAAAAATAGGATGAAATATTTAAAAGAGTTTTATAGTAAAAAGGTAAAATAAATAAATAAATAAAAAGTAGTAAAATAGGTTGAAAAAGTAAGAAAAAAATAGTAAAAGCTAATTTTTGATTTGGAACTTTAAAAAAAAAAAAAACTTAGAAATTTTTTAAAACAAAAATATATAATATTATAAAAATCATTTTGTAAAAAAAAGACTAAATCAAATGGGCCCTATATGACAGATTTAAAATCAGTTGTCCTCAAGAAAACTCAAATATGCCAATCATTTTAAGCTTCAAAAATTAACTTTAGCTTCCAACCATACACTAAAAATGCATATAGATAGATCGGTATCAGCAGTGATCACCATGAAGTTATGAACCAATGCTGATATTTAACCCACCACAACCTGCATAATATAGTAACAAATGCTGATATTTAACCAATCACAACCCTGCATAATATACCTATAATTAAAAATACAAACTTCATTGACTCGAAAACCGACATCCAACCTCATGGAGGCGGGTCGTTGTAATGCAACCAAGCTTCATACACAAGAAAACTTATCGACAATGATGTTCAATCCATCTTGCCCTCAGAAGCTATACATAACTGTAATACATGCAAGTATAACATACATCATCATCTCTTTACTAATTCAAAAGACGGTTCGGTAAACATAAAACCAAATCAATAAAAGGTCTTCAGATAATATTTTCAGAAGAAAGAAATAAAACACACAATAAACAAAGCTATTATATAGTCAGAGTCTCTCTCTCATCTTGCCCCCATATCTTCTTCCAGTCTATGTTTTATAACTTTCTTTTTTTTAATATGCTTTTAACACGATCACTCCGCGGTCATTGGCTGGGTTATGCAACACCTGAACCTCGCCTTCCGAACGGTTGTCATCACCTCGATCTCTGCATTTTCAAGCATTGCTACAATTTCAGGAAATGGTGGCCTGACGTCAGGGTTTGGATCCCAGCACCTTGTCATGATCTCCCGGAGAACCGGCAAACAGTCATGGGGCAGGAGAGGGCGGACATTTCTGTTGACAACCGCAAATGCTGCTTGTACTGCTGTCATGTTCTGAAACGGAAGCATACCAGTGATGAGCTCCCACAGGACAATCCCGAAGCTATATACATCCACCTTCTGTGTGTATGGCCTATGTTGGATCATTTCCCTGCACAGATCAAGAAACATCATCTCAATACATGTAAACACTCTTTTAGAGTCAAGACTGGTTATGGATTTCAGCATTTCAGAAAGTTTGATCTAATTAGCTACATAAATATGATATAAATCGTCAAATGGACTCTAAAGATAGAAAAAACATATACAATCATGATGATGGCTCTGATGCAGACATTACTAGATTTATATAATATATATATATACGGCGAATAAAACGAGCCGTTCGTAAATATTCTAAACATGGGTTTTCAAATGAATTTCGTAAATATCCGAACATTTATTGTCTTTTTTAATACTAACTTGATCCAAAAAGCCAACATCTTTTTCATTAGATTGATTAAGTATTGGAAAAAAAATAAGCAAGAAAATGGTAAAGTTACCATTAGAAGAAAGCCCCAAAAGGAAGGTAAAAACAAAAAAGTTATAACAAAAGATCATTGCATTACTATAACATAGATAATTACTAAAACATTTCACTTTGAGTCTATCATAAATAATTACCAAAACCGTACATCATCACATGTTTCCGCAAATGGCAGTATGATTAATATATTCTATCTAGAACAAAAAGACAACTAGTACTCGGGATCAAGATTAAACCAGGAAACACAAAGTGGTTAAGAACAAACGATGATGATAAACTAAACGTTCAACTATGTTGTGCGACAGAACCCAACCGAATTATCATGGAACAACTATTATCCATCAAACAGGGTTTTCAGAAACATGAAGCTAAATCGTATATTAAATTAATACCAAATGAGAAAGAAAAGTAAATAATCTTACGGAGCCATCCAACGATAGGTCCCAGTCTCGGGAGTCATTCCTTCAGTTTGCACCTCAATCCGTGCGACTCCAAAGTCAGCAATTTTGATAGATTTGTCACCAAAAATCAACAGGTTGTCAGACTTCAAGTCCCTGTGGATCAATCCCAGACCATGAACATACGACATGCCTCTTGCAACATCCAAAGCTTGTTTGATAGCCAGTTTGAGGGGAACAGATCGGTTTTGGCGCTTTGTTAAGAACTGTCGTAGTGATCCACCCTTAGCATACTCAGTAACGATGCACCACACCATAGGCTTTCGGCATGCACCGATGAAGCGAACAATGTTGGGATGCTTCAGTGTAGCCAGCATCATGACCTCCTGCTGAAATTGTTGCTCCATCAACAGAGCCTTCGACGTATCATTTTCAGGCCTCTCCAAGATCTTGATAGCGACATCCTCCCCAATGTAAGTACCTCGGTAGAGTTTCCCGAAAGCACCTTGAGCAAAAGCCTCGCCCATATTAAGCTTCCTCAAATCAATCGTCCATTCTTCGAAATTCTCAAGCCCCTCAGTCGGAGAACTATTGTCCATCAGAGCTTGAGCTAAAGCATCATCGCTCAACGCATGAGTGACTCTTCCCCGACGATTCGCACTGTGAGCAACAGAGTAGTTATCATTGGCACGCCTCTTCAACCCTTGATGATCCAACATGCGGGTATTGGAATCATTCGACCCAACACTGCTGTTATCCACCGACATTGCAACCGACCCTCCTCCATTACTTGTCTGCAAACTCCCAACACTGTCAACCGACATATTCGTACCCTCACCAAGCTTATGGTAAAAGCCTTGGGAAAAATCATAAAAGTTATTATTTTTGTTGAGATCTATCGGAAACTTAGCACCACCTTCCAACATTTTTTTTTTCACACGCAAAAGCAAAGCCTTCAAACTTTGCTACTTCAGCATCAAAGATTGCAAACCAAACCACCTGAAAAAAAAATCCATCAAACCAAAACAAAACAGCCATTAAAAATTAGCAACCAATTTTACAAATTTCAATCACACCAACAAACTTTCAATCTCAACCATCAATCCAACATTTATACATGAAACCATTAAAAAATTAAAACTTGAGATTATAAAAACAGCTTTTATGATCCAACATCATCATCATTCATCACCTTTTCTAAAAACTCATAATCAAATGCATACGAAGCACTGTGTTGAAATAATCAAACCTATAACAATAACATCAACAAAAACAACACCAACAAAAAAAAAAAAAAAAACTTGCTATACTAATCACTAATTAGGTTATGCAAATCAAACCAAAAAAAAAAAGTTGAAAACAAAAATCAAACTAAAACCATTAATTAAAGTTAACCACCTTCAGTAACTGCATATCCCTAAAACCAAATGCAAAAAGAATCAAATTTAAATCGAATTAACCAAATTAAGACACAAAGAGCTAAACACGGAAGAAAAAAAAATCATGAAATTAAAAAACACCAAACTCTAAAACCAGCTTCAGAATCAAATCAAAACGGTAAATTAACCCAAAAACCCCACTGATCTTACATAAGGAAGTTTCAAAAAGCAAAAATTTGAAGAAAAAAAACGAAGTAACCCTAAAATGTTGAGAAGAAAAAAGTGTGATAAAGAGAGAGGAATTGAAGTACCTGAAGAAAGAGAAGTTTGAATTGAGAATGAAAAGATGAAGAATTTATAGAGAGTGAGAAGAGATCGAAGAAGTGAAACGGAAAGAGAAATAGATATAGACAAGATTGAGTTCTTCCCGTACCGAGGAAGCCACACAACAACACAAACAGCAAAGAAGAAAATGAAAACGGATGACTTTCTTTTTTGGTTTTTATTTCTTTCTATAATTATTTTTTATTTTTTATTTTTTATTTTTTTAATGCTTAGTCTTCACTTGCTAGTCTTTTTCTTTCTTTAACTTCTAACATTCCAAGGTCTTGCTTGTTTTTCTTTACTCGTTTTTATTAAATAAATTATTATTTTATAATTTTTTTTTTATTTTAAATAGTTTGAATTCACATGATACTTGAGTTAGAGTTAAAGAGACGATAGTGTATTCATACTCACATTTTTATTGCATGTCCGATTTTTAAGTTGTGTTTTTAATGTTTTTCTTTTAACATTTTCTAGATTTTTGTCTGTGTTCATTTGTTGATTTTATCCTGAGTTGTTATAACTTCTGATACACTCTACTTTTGTTTTTTCTCTCATAAAATATCGGTTACCATGACATGTGTATTTAACGTTAATCTCTAACATTTTCTAAAATATAGTATATTTTTATTTGTTAATTTTATCTTGAGTTAACGTGATCGTTGATGCATGCTACTTTTACTTTTTTTCATAAAATATTAGTTACCTGACATGTGTTTTTAACATTTTTTTTTAACTTTCTCTATACTATTGTCATATTTCATTTGTTTTTTTTTTAATAAGATTATATTTTATTTGTTGATTATATCCTAACTGCTGATGTATGTTATTTTTGCTTTTTTTCTAAAAATTAATACTATGACATGTGATTTCGTTAATGTTAAAATAATTTTTGATAAAATTTATGTTAATACCCATTTGATTTGTGTTCTTTTTACATGTTTTTATTTATTTATAATGATATCTTAAAAGTTAAGAGTATATTGTTTTTAATTTAATTTTTTAAATGAATAAATTATTTGATAAAAAATTAATTATTAACTATTATTTATTATATTATAATTTTATGTATTTCAAACACTACATGATACTTGAGTGAGTTAGAGAGATATTAATGTATGTAATCACATGTTTTTTTAAGTGTTTAATTACTGGAGAATTGTTATTGTTTATTGATTTTATTATGAGTTATCTGAATGGCTGATGCATACTGCTTTTGTTTTTTTTCCCTAAATTAATTGTTATTATGACTTGTGTTCTTGTCACTTATAACACAATCCTTAATAAAATTTATTAATATTGATTTGGCTTGTGTTTTATACTTGTATGTTTTTATTTTTTATTTTTTTTTATAACTAATACCATAAATGTTAATATATTATTTTTATAAAAAAAAATTAAATGAACAAATTGGTTGATAAAAAATTTAATTATTAATTTATTATTATTATTATTATTAATGCTTAGTCTTCACTTGCTAGTCTTTTTCTTTCTTTAAGTTCTAACATTATAAGGTCTTGCTTATTTTTCTTTACTCGTTTTTATTATATTAATTATTAAATAAATTATTATTATTATTTTATAATTTTTTTTAATTTTAAATAGTTTGAATTCACGAGATACTTGAGTTAGAGTTAGAGAGATAATAGAGTACTCATAGTCACATTTTTATTGCGTGTCCGATTTTTAAGTTGTGTTTTTAATGTTTTTCTTTTAACATTTTCTAGATTTTTGTCTGTGTTTATTTGTTGATTCTATCCTGAGTTGTTATAACTTCTTATACACGTTACTTTTGTTTTTTTCATAAAATATCGGTCACCATGACATGTGTATTTAACGTTAATCTCTAACATTTTTTAAAATATAGTATATGTTTATTTGTTGATTTTATCTTGAGTTAACATGACCGTTGATGCATGCTACTTTTACTTTTTTTTCATAAAATATTAGTTATCTGACATGTCATATTTCATTTGTTTTTTTTTAATAAGATTATATTTCATTTGTTGATTATATCCTAACTGCTGATGTATGTTATTTTTGCTTTCTTTTCAAAAATTAAAACTATGACACGTGATTTCGTCAATGTTAAGATAACTTTTGATAAAATTTATGTTAATAATCACTTGATTTGTGTTCTTTTTACATATTTTTATTTATTTGTTTATAATGATATCTTAAAAGTTAAGAGTATATTATTTTTAATTTAATTTTTTAAATAAATAAATTATTTGATAAAAAATTATTTATTATTTATTATTTATTATATTATAATTTTATGTATTTCAAACACTACATGATACTTGAGTGAGTTAGAGAGATATTAATGTATGTAATCACATGTTTTTTTTAAGTGTTTAATTTCTAGAAAATTGTTATTCTTTATTGATTTTATTATGAGTTATCTGAATGGCTGATGCATACTGCTTTTGTTTTTTTCCCTAAATTAATTGTTATTATGACTTGTGTTCTTGTCACTTATAACACAATCCTTAATAAAATTTATTTATTGATTTGGCTTGTGTTTTATACTTGGATGTTTTTATTTTATATTTTTTTTTATAACTAATACCATAAATGTTAATATATTATTTTTATAAAACAAATTAAATGAACAAATTGGTTGATAAAAAATTTAATTATTAATTTTTTTTAATGCTTAGTCTTCACTTGCTAGTCTTTTTTTTTCTTTAAGTTCTAACATTATAAGGTCTTGTTTGTTTTTCTTTACTCGTTTTTATTATATTAATTATTAAATAAATTATTATTATTTTTATTATTTTATAATTTTTTTGTATTTTAAATAGTTTGAATTCACATGATACTTGAGTTAGAGTTAGAGAGATGATAGACTATTCATACTCATGTTTTTATTGCGTGTCCGATTTTTAAATTGTGCTTTAAATGTTTTTCTGTTAATATTTTTTAGAATTTTGTCTGTGTTCATTTGTTAATTCTATCCTGAGTTGTTATAACTTCTGATACACGCTACTTTTGTTTTTTTCCTCATAAAATATTAGTTACCATGACATGTGTATTTAACGTTAATCTCTAACACTTTCTAAAATATAGTATATATTTATTTGTTGATTTTATCTTGAGTTAACATGACTGTTGATCCATGCTACTTTTATTTTTTTTCATAAAATATTAGTTACCTGACATGTGTTTTTAAAGTTTTTCTTTAACTTTTTCTATATTATTGTCATATTTCATTTGTTTTTTTAATAAGATTATATTTCATTTGTTGATTATATCCTAACTGCTGATGTACGTTATTTTTGCTTTTTTCTAAAAATTAATACTATGACATGTGATTTCGTTAATATTAAAATAATTTTTGATAAAATTTATGTTAATACCCATTTGATTTGTGTTCTTTTTACATGTTTTTATTTATTTATAATAATATCTTAAAAGTTAAGAGTATATTGTTTTTAATTTAATTTTTTAAATGAATAAATTATTTGATAAAAAATTAATTATTAACTATTATTTATTATATTATAATTTTATGTATTTCAAACACTACATGATACTTGAGTTAGAGAGATGTTAATGTATGTAATAACATGTTTTTTAAGTGTTTAATATTTAGACAATGTTATTGTTTATTGATTTTATTATGAGTTATCTGGATGACTGATGCATACTACTTTTGTTTTTTTCCCTAAATTAATTGTTATTATGACTTGTGTTTTTGTCACTTATAACACAATCCTTAATAAAATTTATTAATATTGATTTGGCTTGTGTTTTATACTTGTATGTTTTTATTTTATATTTTTTTTATAACTAATACCATAAATGTTAATATATTATTTTTATAAAAAAAATTAAATGAACAAATTGGTTGATAAAAAATTTAATGAACAATTTTTTATTATTATTATTATTATTAATGCTTAGTCTTCACTTGCTAGTCTTTTTCTTTCTTTAAGTTCTAACATTATAAGGTCTTGCTTGTTTTTCTTTACTCGTTTTTATTATATTAATTATTAAATAAATTATTATTATTATTTTATAATTTTTTTTTTAATTTTAAATAGTTTGAATTCACGAGATACTTGAGTTAGAGTTAGAGAGATAATAGAGTACTCATAGTCACATTTTTATTGCGTGTTCGGTTTTTAAGTTGTGTTTTTAATGTTTTTCTTTTAACATTTTCTAGATTTTTGTCTGTGTTTATTTGTTGATTCTATCCTGAGTTGTTATAACTTCTT